GAGGAAAATAGCTCTAATGCCACCCGCTGCCTTTTCCTCATTAAACACAAGAAGTAATTCAATATGCAAATACCTCTTCCTTTTTTTAACAGTTGATGTTGCTTCTCTTTGTCATATTCTCCTCATGTGGGCTGATTGTTGGACCAATTATTCTTCCAAACAAATCGGACTTATCAAAAATGTATGCAACTATTTACAACAGCGCTTGGAGTGTGTAAATATTTCGCACATTTCTGGCATGCTGAAAAGCTATGTCCATAATCTTGACCTGAAAGTTTCCTTTCAAGTAAAAATAATTTGCTAATTTGTGCGGCGAATGATAATGTGTGATCCAAAGAGGCAGCTTACAAAAAGTCGAATCATGTGTAAATGACGCCGGTGCATGACATTTTCACAACAATGACTTTGGTGTGGATATTAAATTAGGGATGCACCCAGTGAAAATTAAATCACGAATGCATTAAATTAAATTTGAATTATGGATGGCAGAAGATCTGCAGTAACCAGCCTTGTAAAAGTCGCATTTAACCTTTTGAGGTACGTAATCAATAAGATCCTCGGGCAGTCGACGGAATTTGTATGACTTGAATTAATGTTGTTCACATTCCATTACGCCGTCTGTCCTCACGATTTTATTGTTATCCAGAAAAGTAAAAGGTGAAATTCTTCACTACTTTGTCCATGTGTCATCACTGCTCCATCTTCATTTCTGGAAAGGAAGATTAACAATGCATTTAATTAATCCATCATATTTCCACAAATAATGGCCAGGGTTGGTTTTAGTTCATCTTCAACTGTCGATGGGGGTAGGTGTCTTTTAGAGTAATAATGCAGTATGATTAATATAAAAAATGTTAGCTTTTGTTGGTTCTTCTTTTGTTTTTTATTTATAAATGCTCAATTAGAAACTCTGAAATATGACCCTTATTGGAACCACCATCTTCTTCCCCATTTTTTCCAGACACTACCTCCTTGTTGACGGTGCAACCTTGTTGGCACGTAGTATTCATCCACCAACCATTTTGAGCTGCATCTACAGACCAGCAAGATTAGCACTGCATTCATCACTGTGGAGAACTATTGAGAGAAAAAAAGTAATTTATTCCAAATGTTTCTCCTCATTGGATTGGTTCGAGGGGAGCCCCGGGGGTTGACTGGTTAGCACGTTGGCCTCACAGTGCAGAGGTGCAAGGTTTGATTCCGGCTCCGGCCTTCCAGTGTGGAGTTTGCATGTTCTCCCTGTGCCTGTGTGGGTTTTCTACGGGTACTCCGGTTTCCTCTCACATTCCAAAAACCTGCGCGGCAGGTTATTGTAACACTCTAAATTGTCCCTAGGTGTGAGTGTGAGCGCGAATGGTTGTTCCTTTTTCCGTGCCCTGCGATTGGCTGGCAACCGGTTCAGGGTGTCCCAGTCTACCGCCCGAAGACAGGTCGGGTAGGGTCCAGCATGCCCCGCGACCCTTGTGAGGATAAAGTGGATCAGAAAACGAATGGATGGATGGATGCCATTTTAATAATTTAAGTAAAGTGAGGTTTTTTTCATTCTCACATAGTGCATGATGTTCAAAGCAATCATCATCTTACAGTAGCTTACAATAATGAACTTTTCATGAATAAAACCTCAACTTTGTTTTTGATGAACCGTTAGTCCTACTGCAGTACTATATTTTAATGGTGGTCATGATGATGTGTGCGCTGCGATTGGCTGGCAACCAGTTCAGGGTGTCCCACGCCTACTCCCCAAAGACAGCTGGGATAGGCTACATCATGCCCCGCAACCCTTGTGAGGATAAGCGTATCAGAAAATGGATGGAGGGATTGGTTAGGGGTAGCCAAAACAGCTTGAAGCATGATTATATGCCTTTGGAGGATCCCGCATTGAAAGGTTGTGGTGTTCCTGAGACAGTGGCAGCTTCAAATACCCGTTTGCTACTCATGTGTGGCTTTTAAACAGCTGCTCTATCAATATCGTGGATTTTCCTGACACAAAATTATGTTAATGCCGATTTAAGAACAATTACACTGAATCACCCATAAAAAGTTTGATGATTTTCTTGAATTTTTTTTTCCAATCGTTTTAGTTTGTTCCACACTTTGTCGCAACAGAAAAATCATATGTGATTTTACTTTAATTACGTTCACATGGGAAAATAATTATCCAAGCTGTCTGAGAATTCTATCAATGATCTGAGCCGATACCAGAAAGAACAGATGAAAAAAACAAAATCCAGATGTCGAATTTAGTTTAATCTCATATGAATGATGATTTGAACACTGTGCAATAAACAGAAACAACATTGAAGAAAAACAGGTAGGTCTAATGTTATTCCAATCGCTTTCTTCACATAATCGAAGATTATGAAAGATTATTTTTAATACTACTCAGGGAGCAAGTGGTAAAATTCCACACTTTAATTATTTTTGAGACTGAATGATGAGTGCTGCTTATTTGGTTAGCAAACAATTTCAATTGGGCTTCGCCATTCCGTCGTTAGTGTCTGTGTGTGAAGAAAAATGTTTCTAAAACCTGATAATAGCACCTCATTTCAAGTGAAGGTGGAGTTCTAAATTTATGAACTGTGCTGAAGAAGCAAAGAAACAGCAAAATCACAGGCGGAACGTGAATGTGCAGTATCAATGTTTATTTTGGACAGAAATGAGCCATTTCAATTGTATTTGTTAAGTTAAGCTTTCTTCTGTTGGAATTAAAGTAAAAAAATAAAGATTTCTCAGTTAAGTAAAAAAATGTTGACTATAGTTTTGTTTTTTGAAAAACACTTAACTCGTGTCACAATAAGTTATGTCTTAGCACTAAAAATAGAATTTTAGTTTAAAAAAATCTTTGTACAGGTGTCTTGAAATTTGCAGAAGTAAAATGTATTTTTTTATTAATACTAAAGCTGTTAATTTCAAGTTAATTAAACACATTTTTAACATGGACATCACATTTATTGTTTCACTTGGATGAGTGTGTGAAAAAAAAGAAGGTAAATGCATAATAACATGATCACATTATTCCGGTTCGAGCAAGGGTGGGTAAACTTTTTGGCTCGGGGGCCACAATGATTTCTAAATTTGACAGGTGGGCCGGGTCAGCACAAGATACGGTACATATAAAAAAACTGCACATGTTGACAGTCCATACCAAACATCAACAGAACCAAAGCATTAAAGTATTAACATACTTTTTTTTTAAATGAGAACAGTTAAACAACTGTGGTATATGTCCTGTATGAACGTCCAAGTATGTTAACAACATACATGTATGACAAGAGAAGCAACAAAGTGCAACAATATATTGCCCAAAAACTGTTTATAACACAAAAACTGCAGCATACAGTCGAGGTCTATGAACAAAATACAGCAAAATTAGGACTATTTGCTACAAAATGAGACGAATAAGAGACCTGGTGGCTTTTCGTTCCACTCACTCACTGTCTCTAACTTGACCTCCCCTCGATCACCACTCATGACAGCATTGATGTCGTGCAATGAACTTTTGAAGCCAGCCACAGGACGCTTCGACGTCTTCGATGCTCATAGTTAGCGCTATGGAGCTCGCCTCCTCTCTTATTGGCGGTCCAGTGTGCGGAATGTTTTGTGCACGATAACAGTCCAGTCAGAGTCCAGGAAAAGTTCATTTACTCGACTGTCTGTCGAGCTGCAAGCAATTCACTCTGAGCATGGACATTGCCAGAATCGGACTGAGCAAGAATCGCTTCCTTGTTTTTCAAAGTCTCGTAAATTTGAGTCTTTCCGACTCCAAGTGTCTCCTGAATGTTTCGTACTTTGTAACCCGCTTTGTTTAATCACTCAACTCAACTCAAATCAGATACATATCACTTTCACTTCCGCGGTCATTACTGTTCCTCTTCGTTTGGATGCCATGATCTACAGACGTAAATGTAAATGAATGAAATTAAAAAACTTTTGCAATTCCAGTAAACCTCATTGCAATCAGGAGTCACTTGCATGTCGCCGTTTTGGATCAAATGGTAGAAAATAGCGGCACAGACACACTTATTCCGTCGTATCGAGCAGGAGTTGCTTGAGTTGGTGCTACTGCGGGCTTCCGTATGGCTTACGGAACTTTCGTTGTTACGAATCAATTATTCATGTAATATAGTAGTAGAAAGTTTAATGCATATGTTTTTGTTTGTTTTTTTTTGTTTGTTTTTTTTTGGTTTTTTTACTGGGTTCGGGAATTTCCGTTTTACAGAGGTCCGCAGATGGAAGATAAGATTTCTCCCGCTATCTCTCTCCCTCTCTCTTCATCTCCCCCTTCCTCCCTGTGCTCTGCAACTTCAAGTAACTGCGCCACCCGGCGTTGAAATGCCTGTCATTACAAGTCCAAATGAAATGAATGCAATCATTCACATTGAACCTTAATTGTGTACCAACCTTCGGCGGGCCGGATTAAAAAGACCAACGGGCCGGATTCGGCTCGCGGGCCGTAGTTTGCCCATTATGGGTTAGAGAGTTGCTAGTGCATTTCATTATTATTATATCGACTGAATTTTTAATACAAGTTGTATTTCAAATCAAAAGTTACAGAAAATACACAACCGAAACCAACTAAATAATACTTTAACCCTGCAACATTGGTTCGGAGGAAATTTGGTGAAAGAACTGCTTCTCATATCTGTTAAAATAAATAAATAAATAAAAAACTGAAGACAAATTTGTATATTTTTCTCCCCAAAATGAAAAAAAAATCAATTTAGCAAAAAAAAAAAAAAAAAAAGAAAAAGAAAAGTTGACCGACTTTATTTGGAGCTTGGAAGTTTTGACACGAGATTTCGGGCAACTGTGATAAAACCTGTCATTTTGTGGTGGACCAGTACTAGTATTTGTTGACATTAGGGAGCACCAAACCTCTGGTTCTGCGAGTGTTAACATGACTTGTTTTTGTTTTGTTTTTTAACATACAGTGGCAATCTATCAATCCCAGCCCTTCATTCCATTCTCCAAATAATCACCAATTGGAACAATATTTGGAGTGTCATATAATAGGTCATTATTTTATGTTTAGTGCTTTACGAGAGTTTGCACTGTTTACGTCATGCTTGAGTTGATTGACAGGTCCCGCCTATAAGGGGGAGTTCCCGGAAGTAACTGCGAGTCAGTCTACCGCATGTTGAACGGCTCTGCCACGTTATCAATAAAAAGACACATAAAACCCAAACCCTGCCTGCCAACAATCATTACATGGAGTATTGACCTTTTTTTTTTGCCAATCTCTGTAAAACAATCCAACGCTGTTAATATTGCAGGCCAAGACTACAGTGTTTGCTCATAGTGTTAACTTAAAACATCATGTCTTGACGATATTCCGCCCCACGAACCGAAATCAACGTCCACTTCAGTGGGCAGTAATGGGAGAAATTATTGATTGACTACATAGTCTAATAACTATCTGGCTCCTTGTCAATTACAGTAAAGGTCAGTCCAAAAGGCTGTTAATGATCTGCTGTTCTGTCGGACGCTGATGAATGCACTGCTTCTCGATTTTCACTGCATTTTTGTAAAGCCCTCCGCCACCACACCGCTCCCCCCACCCCCAAAATGAGAAAAATGGCATCAAGAGGACTTGACACATATTCAACCCTGCAACGCACCTCCCACCCCTCACTGTTCCTCCCTGTGTTGTTTTGCACTCGGCAACTCTGAGGGCAGCTCTTTGGAGCATTGTGGCGATTCATCACGGCGGTGTCGTGTCAGACGCCATCACGATTCACATTTGAGAAGCAGCCGGCTGTCATAAATGAGCAAGTGGCGGTCAGTTCCATGCCAAATTCGCTCTCCTTAGCAAGAGTCATGTTCCTGTCCACACATCAGGGATGGTACAACATATCACTCATGTCATATCACATAACATGTGATGGCACATTGGGAGTATTCATAGATGGATCTTGGGGATTAGCCAGTGACAAGAAAAGGTGACAAAAAAGGCCAAAACAACCTTGTTTTTGATTTGTATGTTTGCTTTTAGCCCCTAAACATAATTTCTAATTGTTTTTCTCCTCTCCACGAATAAAAAGCTTCCTTATTTTTCCCTTTAGGGAAAATAATCGTCGTCAGTGTAGTTTCTCTTTTCAGAGACATACATACGGACATTACAGAGCATAAACAGTCCATCAGATGAATTAAAGAAGGCATAATAGTCAATTTTTTTCCCCTCACAATTTGAACCAGTTCCCAGCTAGAGTAATTACAGTTCTGTGTCCACTTTTCGTCCAAATTCCACAGGGTTAAGGAACGATGGACCACTTTTTTGCCTTGCAGAAATCAGTCTTTTTTTGCGGGGCAGTCCTGTCTCATACACCTGCTCACCACATCCCTACACTCCAGGGCCAAAGCTCAGCGTGGTTTACATTTCTATGCTGAAAAGCTCGGAGCCTTGAGTCTAAAAATGCAAGTCTTAACTCTGAAGCATACACCAATCTCCATAAAGATAACACAAGTGGAATTAGCAATTTAGTACCTGGCCGCCGAGGTACATTGACCAATTCATGTACGGATCCATGTATAGTGAGAAAAAAAAGGCGATACACATCTGTTCAAATGCCAGGGTTTTATGATGTAGACCAAGACAAATGCTTTCAAAACGTTTTTTCACCATTAATGTCACCTTAAACCTGCACAACTGAAAAAGAAAATGGATGTCTTTTCGTGAGATGAATTCAAAATGAACAACTTTGATGTTTCGGTGGGACAAGTGTTCCTATTATGACTGCTGATGTTGCTCAGAATTAACCAGTCACATTCAAAACCACGTTAAATGGAATTTAGAACACACCGACCACTATTAATAGTGCCCCTAAATTAACCCAAATACATTCCATCTGTTCTAGTAGGCTTTTACTGGCAATTTTGCAGTCACATCTTACAGCACACACCATGATTTTCAGAGAGCTTTGACAGCATCAGAGGGTTATTTTTGAAAGGTATCAGTCAGAAGAAGAGTACAAAAATATCAAAGGCATTAAATATACCAATGGACACAGAGAGGACAAAAGAGCGACAACAGTGACATAACCAATCGAGGAAAGACACAGAAAAACTTCCAGTTTGAAATACCTCACTTGATCTCCAATGAAACCAAGGTTGAACTTCCACCCATCCATCCATTCATTTTCTAATCCTCTTATCCTCACGAGGGCATGCTGGAGCTCATCCCAGCTGTCTTCGGGCAGAAGACAACTGGTTGCCAGCCAGTCGCAGAGGTTTAACGTTTCAGCAATAATTCCGAAAGGTGTGTTTGGCGCAAATACAACACTGCTAATCACCAAAAGAACAGTGAAGCATCGTGCGGGCAGCATGTTGTTTTCGGGATGTTTTTCTTCAGCTGGAAGTGAGCCTTTAGCGAAGTTGGAGGGAATTATGGACCATTCCACATTTCACACAGTGTTACCACAAAACTTTGAGGCTTCTTCTGGAGAGCAAAAGTAATGCATGAAAAGCCTAGTGGAACTGCTGAACTTTCCTTTGGGTTAATACATTTGGGGTTTATCTGAAAGGATTAGGCTTTGGAGCTGGGGGAACACAGGTTTGAGTTGCTGCCCCCCCACAATCAAAAAAAAAAAACGTTAAAAATGGCAACTAGCTGTTTGAGGGATGCTAATAATAAACGTTGGATGGTTCCTGACTCGTATTTGTGCCTATGCACCAAACAGTGTCTCGGTGTAGGCTGCCCACCCTCTTTGGAGTCTGCGGGGGTGGTGGTGGAGAGCACTTCCACTGAAGATTCTTTGCTGCTGGGTGGAACTTAATGGCCACATGAGCAATGACATATTGTGTCTGCTGGGAGTGTCTGACACAGTACCCTGTGAGAAGTACTTTCACTCCCACGCCTGACAGAACTTTGACCTTATGTTCTGTGGGCCACGTTCTGTGACACCATTGATGAGGCAGCCTAATAGAGCTGTTGACATAATATGGTTGGAGGCTGAACCCGTTGATACACACTGGTGGTGAGGGATTTTGTCAAGCTGTAAAAGGAGTCGTTCATGGACATTCTGGTCCACCGTGCAGCATTTTAGGAGCAGTACACCATCAACATTGACCTTGACTTGAGACATTGTAAGTCGATCGAGAGAATACTTTGGTTTGGAGAAGAGAAAGAGAGTCTGGGGACTCTGAGGCACGCTCTCCAATCAGTGGGGTTCCGGTTGTCCGGGTGATAAAAGTAGCGCCTCTGTTGCAGGGCCCCGGGTGTGGATGAGAGTCATTCATCCATCCATCCATTTTCTGATCCGCTTATCCTCACAAGGGTCACCGGTGGTGCTGGAGCCAATCCCAGCAATCCTCGGGCAGTAGTCGGTGGGGTACACCCTGAACTGGTTGCCAGCCAATCGCAGGGCACACATAGATGAACAACCATCCGCGCTCACACTCACACCGAGGGACAATTTAGAGTGGTCCATGAATCTGCCATGTTTTTGGAACGTGGGAGAACACCGGAGTACCTGGAGAAAACCCACGGAGGCACGAGGAGAACATGCAAGCTCCACACAAGAAGGCCAGAGCCGGGTTTGAACCCCTGAGTAATGTCTCTGAATTGGCAGACCGGGGATGATGTTCCCTCTTTTTCAAGGAAAAGGGATCAAAAGTTTCTTTATGTTCATGCTACAGGGGAAGCACACTTCTCACGATCTCTGGTAAGGTCTGTTCCGAAATTTTGGCATGAAGGGCCCATCGGAAAGTAGAACCTCAGATTCAACAGGAGCAGGATGGCTCTTGTCCATGGAAACGTGGTGCATAGTGTTTGCTCAACCGGTCTTATGTGCTTTTCGTGGACTTGGAGACGTTCTTAAACCATGTCCCTCGAGCAGTCCTGTGTGCACATCTGTGCTTGTGCCAGATGTGCAAAATCATTGTGTACCCGGCATGTGGATCCTTCTGGAAAATCTGGATGAAGGGATTTGAATGACAGAAGTCTGAGCTTCCATGCTTTAGATGTTGCCCCCAGATAATCAGAAGAAAGGGGATGGATGGTTCGCTAGATTACAATGGACCTGTGCATACTTGCAGTCCGGCACCCGCAGATTCACCAATTTGCGTAATTTATTTCAATATATTTTTTCCAATAATCTTACATTTTTTTAGGGAGTGTGGGGCCTCCTGTGGAAAATATAGATATATTGGAGGTCTGTCCGTGTTTCTTGTAGATCTTTGGGGTGTTTAAAAAAAGTTTTATTTTTTCGAATGCAATTCAGGAGTCACTTAAACACCGATTTCGGGTACTCGCGGGCTTGCCCAGTCCTGATTCCCCACAAACAGAAGGGCTCCACTATATTCTCAAAGTTAGTTTGGACAATTACAGACTTCCCATTGTAAAACTCGTTCCCCGTCTGCACTGAAAAAAAAATGGCATACTGGATTAATACATCATGTTTTAATGTCATTAGATCATAATTTCATAACTCTGCGGAGTCATTTTGTAAAATCACTTCATAGCTTCTTAAAATGACTTTGTAAGCTAACTTTGTAACATAACTTTGTAATGTCGCTTCTTGATGTAACACTTTGTAACACATTGTAACACACAGGTACAGATGACGACTGACAGAACCCTTTCTACGATGGAACTTTCCTGTACGACTGAGAGCCTCCACAAGCATCTTGCGGTCAATGTTGGGAAAGACTCCCTCCAGCTGACGCGCGCCCTCGAGAGGATTGGTAAGGAAATTGCGGATTCTAGGAACCATCTTAGATTTAACCTTAGATGCAGACAGAACAAACTAATACCTAAATGCCTCAACCAAAAAGCGTTAGAGCCAGGGTACGTAGCCAAAAATTTACAACTGAATTATGTCCTTAAAATTCTCACCCAAAGAATCAGACGATTGAATGCAAATATTAAAGATCTCAACAAAAGAGCAGAAGAGATTCGACAAAAATTTAAACAAATGGTGTCAGAAGAGATTTTCCAAAAGATTTTAGAATTCACCAAATCCTCACAACTAAAACAGCATGAAATCTCCAAAAAACGGCAAATTAAAAAGTTCCAAAATTTGATTAAGCGCAAAGAACCCACTCCAAGTAAATACAGGGCCAAATCAGACCAAATTGAAGAAATCCCTTGTGAGGAAAAATGGATTAAGAATTTATCTAATCGTGACTTAGAGAAAACAGTGCTTGCCAAAGGCCTGAACTT